TTGCAAATATTGTATTTGCAAAATATGTAATTGTAGAATCAGTGTACACTATGTTTGTCTGTATAATAGAAGATTGCTTTGTCATTCAAAACTTTCTAGAACATACTGTGTAACCATAATCGTCATGCTATGCTGACAAATAATATTAACAGTTCTTGCAACAGTACTTACATTAATAGCTCGCAAGTACTTAGATATATTGCTATAATTTCAATATAATGAAAAAAATAAATTATAAGAATAAAATACGGGAATAAGTTATAAAAACCTTCGTGTAGAAATAAAAAAAAATGTATTGTCTAGAGAAATATATAACAGTAAAATCAATGATATCCTGTTTTATAATAGGATAACATTGACAGCCTGTAAAGCATTAATTATCCATGTTGGATAGTCTTTATTTGGATAAACTATCAACATATAATCCTGTATAAATCTAGGGAATCTTTGTTCTTTAATACTGTCTCTGATATCTTGCATAAGCTTCATTTGGAATGCAATATTGTGAACGGTTAATAGATGACACGCTACTGTCTCCACAGTGGCAATTTGATGTAGATAAGCGCGAGAATAAGTCTTGCAAGTACTACACTCGCACGATTCGTCTATTGGTCTCAAGTCTTTTTTATATTGCATCTGTTTCAAATTGAGCTGTCCCGTTTTTATCAACGCACAACCAAATCTCTGAAAGTTTTAGTTTAATGTTTTGACATTTCCATCTTCTACGTAATCAAGTATGTATTTTATGAAATACTTACAGCAGTTCTTGTCGGAAATACACAATCGTACATATCGATACCTAACGCACTGCATACGATTAAATCTATTGCGAAACCAACACCCATGAGATATCGCGGTTTATTCTTTGGAAGGATATTCGTTGATAAGTGGACCATTCTCCAAAAATCATCTTTGCTCTCACCGCCACTGAAATCATTATAAGAATCACTATTATTGTATTATGTAAGATTTATATATTTCTGTATTATACAAAAATCTTTATCAGCTATATGTATCAACAAATAATCCAATATCTACCTCAAACCTCCTACAGCATATCCATTCACCTCCCGCTTAATTAATTGATGTGCGCATTCGGATCGTAGTTCGGGATTGAGACCACCTTGTACAATTGGAAATATACTCTGCTCAACTGGTCTTTCATGCGCTAACAAACAACGGTCTAGCCAACGTATTGTTCTGAAATGGTTTGTGTTAAATAACACTCGCTTAAGCCAGGCTATTTAGACAATATATTATTTAGAAAATGTGTTTAAAAAAATAATTGTACCTATGCATTGCTTCTTCTACTCTTGGTCCGGTTAAAGTACTACTAACAACATCATCGAGCTGCATGATTATGTCAGCTCCAATTGCATTTTGAATTTGAATAGAATGTTCGGGTGTCAACATACATTCAGATTCTATATGAAACGTTATTGTAAACATTATTATAAGCCGATTAAATTATGTATAAGTTATATTTGAATGTATTTAAAAATATATCTCTCTTGCTATATATATCATAGTACCATTGTATGGTGATTTAAATTTTACACCTTCTTCTGTTATTTCAGCTAATTGTAATAATGAAACCATTTGGAAACCACCTGAGTCCGTTAGTAAAGCCCTTTTCCAGTTCATAAACTTGTGCAAACCTCCAGCTTTACGTAGAATATCTGCACCCTATCAATATAAAGTATATATTTTAATATAATCGAAATTACATTTAAAAAAATTTACTAATAAATCTAAAACTCGTTGACCCTCGTTTTATCTAAATCAACCAATATTTTTTTTCTAACGATAATGCATGATTTCTTACAGGTCTGTTTCCAAGATGATAGGTATTACCAAGAATTATTTGGCAATCCAGTTGCTCCAATTGTTGGGGCAACAATCCTTTCAATGTTCCCTGAAAATGATGTAATAACAAATTTAATGTAAATTTAAGTCGTTGCGTCCAAGATGTTAAAAATCACTCCAAGATTCAGAAAAAGAAAGAATTGAATCGTATTGGTCATCCAATTGTTCAAATATGATTTATTAATTCTTGTTCTGTCCAAAACGTTAGAATGATTTCTAACATCGTGAACACAAGGCTTTATAATTGAGTCATATATTTCAAAAATCTAGATTTTTAAGTAAAATGTTTACTATAATTCAAAAGAAAATATCGAAGCAAATTAATCATTATAAAGCATTGATAGACAAAATAGGTGAAAGCTTGTTTACAAATTAAATTACGAATATACACACACAAGTGAGATTTTATTAATATAATTTATTACAATTGCAAAAATCGTAAACTTTAAATAAAATTTAGTTTCAGATGTTATCAAAATATTTAGTACTGAAAGTTAAAGAATTATCAGAGTAATCATCCTTTCATGTGGATTTTAAATTAAAAAAACCTAATGTTCTAATATGTTTCTCACATGGTCACTTCGTATGCAGCTTAAACAAGAAGAGAAGAAGTTTTATAAACCTGAGTTCCCACCGGCATGAACACCGGTGTATTTACATGATGATGAACAAGCGTCATCCTGCCAGTTCTGGCTTTTGTGGTTTCGCATTCGGCAAACACTTCAAAGATCAACGGAGTCTTCCGATTTGTCATTTTTACTGGCGATCTACCGAATCCTACGTTTATCGTCGTGGAATACGACTTGTAAAAAAATCTGGACATAGAGAGGAAAATCTATAAATGCCGCTCAAAATGAAAGGTTATATCACGATATCATTCTCTCCACGTGTCTTTGTCCCGGCCTGAAATATGTGTTTTATGAATGTGGACTTACGGGACACCCTGTATATTAATGTGCAAATAGACTTGCTAACCGCGTCGCACGTTCGAATTGAAAGAGGCATAGGTACCCGATAATTGTAATTACCCGCGATACGCTCTGCAGATGTTTGCGCTATGACGGCCCGGCGCGGTGTTGATACACGAAACATCACCTCCAGGAGAGATTTGTTTCGCGATAGTGTTCAACGGTAACGATTAGCTGGCAAACATGAAGACTGAGGTATCCTGGAAGCGACGTCTTCTGCGAAAGAAGATCAAATACATGCTAGTGTGCGTCCTCGTGGTCGCCGTGATATTCGTGATCCATCAGCTGTTCTACTTCAAAGAATTGAACCAAGATACCGTAGGCAAGCTGATTGCCGGTTCGGTGAAAGACACCCATCGTGTGGTCGTCGGTAAGCGGATTGAAAAGTGGAATCAACCGTATCATTCGAAACTCATTCGCGACACGAATGGTCGAACGGTGTCGTTACGTGGCACACGGGATCAGGATATAGCCAAGTACCTTCCCAACATCAATGGGAAATTTGTATGTTTTGTTTCAAAGAGGGAGATCGATTTTGTAAAGATCAACGATGATTATTGTGACTGTCCAATGGACGGTAGTGATGAACCAGGTACTAATGCCTGTAACAATGGTTTCTTTAATTGCGAGAAGAGTTCAAGAAAGTCGACAGGTATTGCAGTCAAATCTCTTTGCAATATATAAAATGTGCAATGTGTTAGAAGCTACACGACAGAAGTAATTTATGAAATTTGTATAAATTTTCAGTAAGAATACCATCGTACAAAGTCAATGATGGACATTGTGATTGTTGTGATGGTTCTGATGAATGGGCTGAAGCTGCAGTATTGTATAAACTCAATAGTAAGTTCAATTTATTTATAATATTTTTTTCAATTTATTTATGTGAACATATATGAAATAGTTATAATATCTATCGTATTTGCTATAATTTAGACTTACTTGTTATTTGTATTTATTACAGAATTAAAAGTAACTTTTTATGGACCCAAATGTCCAAACAAATGTTAGTGAAGAAAGTGAAGTATAATTCAGATCGGGGGGGGGGGGGAAGAGGGGAGAAGAAAGTGCTTCTTAATTTATGCATCGTAACAAGAATGACAACAACCAAATATACATGATAGATAAATATTTAGAATATTTTTTTCATTTTAGATTTTCATGAAAGTGTAATTGTTTAATCATACATAAAACATGTTTATATAGTAAAAATGATCGCTCAATACTATAAAAAAATGATATACGAGATTCTTTAAATTAAGATTAAGAAGTTATTTTTAAATTTAATGAGTTGAAAAATTATTATCATTAAAATCATTATTTTTTAGTTTTAATATATTATAATTAAGAAGAGAATATTTTTTCTTATTTTTCTTTCATTTAAATTAAATTGAAAGAACAGTTTATTAATATATTTAAAGATGGTTGCGAAGAGACACAGAAGTATTAGATTTAAGAAAGTATATTTAAGTAAATAAATAATACAAGTTTTTTTTCCAAACTCATAGAGCATTATATTTATTTATGAAGAATAGATATCTCAAACATTAATGTAATAAGAACTGTAATTATATATACACGGAGGTAGTCTTTCTCTACACAGATATTCCTCTGTTGTAATATTATGTACTATCTAGAGTTTATATATTATTTTATTACATATATATTTTTTGTCGTATATATATAATTTTTTTACATTTTCTGTTTCATACTTACGAAGATAGATATTATTACTAATAATTAAAAAAGAAAATACGAAATGAGATTTGTATAAAAAGAAGAAACAATAACAGCTTTATCATATTTTCTCAGATTGTTAAATAAAATAAACACATTTATAGTTTTTTTATTAGTTTTAATTAGTAATTAGTAATTAGTAATTACTTAAAAATATTATACATATCATATAAGCAACAAAACAATATATTTAATAAAAAATTATACAACATAAATAATATTATATGTAAATACAGTTTATAATATTTAACAGATTTCTATTACTTATAGGACTAGAGATTAAGAATGTATTATTAAAATATAAATGATAATCAATATGTACATTGCGAAAATAGATTCTGTTAAACTTTTTGTATAAATTATGAAATAGTTCGCAATACAGAAATATCAATTATAATATTGTCAACAAGATTATAATTTTTACATGACTTTATACTTTACTTTGATCTTGATGTAAAGGAATTGCGATCTATTTTATGATTCATAACACAAGTTCGAGCACAAGTGCTCGATTATATCGTAAATTTAGAAAAGAATACGATAGTTTTATTACACGTTATTTCTGATATCTGTAAGAACATTGAAATGCGATGAGAGGCTTCGTGCTTTATCATCAAAATGTAAAGTTTGTTGTACAGATACTCCCATCCTTTGTAAGGTATCGTTGAAGCTCTTTTCTTCCATCTGAATCCATGGTCGATGTTTGTCTTGCATTTGATATGGCGTTACATGTATATGAGTATTTATTCCTAAAGAAGATATTTAATTACATTATATAAACATAATATATTGAAAAATCTCACTACTTCGAGATATTTCCAAATTATCTCACTTAATTTAGCAAAGGAACGAAGTATATCCTCATTTGTAATCCATGTATTTTTGGGACCATTGTGTCCGCCATCTAACCACCACATATCTTTGATAAGTTTGATAAAATTATTTATATTGGGATCGTTATTCGAGTCATTATTGTAATGATGAAATTCATAAAGAAACTGATTCAAAACTGCACATCCCTTACTGAAGCCCATTAGACTTAAGTTTGTAGCTTCGATATTACAGATATCAGTATCCTTAAAAATATTAAAATATTATGTATTCAGTAGATCAATATTATACTCGATGCATGCAATGTATTATATCTTTAAGAACATTGTCAAGGTACAAGTTATAACTATAGTTGTACATACATTAAAGTTGGAGGAAGTTATTAATGTGATAATGATTTATAAAATTTTCCATAAATTATGATTCATTTATGTCTAATACATACTTCTCCAATCTTTAATGTTTTAACATGTTCTAAGCAACAAGTAATGAGATCTTTTAAATGCCTTAAAGCATTATATATTGGACAAAATGTAGGTGTGCCATATGTATCTCCTGATACGAAATTATCGAAACAACTGAATACTGCGTGTTTAGTTATTGTCATCCTGAAACAAGTACCAAGTTCTTGCAAGTACTAAGTAATTCGATCTAAACGTGGCAGTCAAGAGAATCACTTAGCATTTTTTAAATCTCTCTATATAATTTTTATAGAATACCTATAAGAAATTATATATCATTCAGAATAGAAATATTATGATATTTCTGTGCATAACATATGATAATAATATCTTACCTTGATGGACGAACAACAAATACATGACTCCCAGGAAACTGTTCAGATAGTATAGTCGCTGTGTTCTCCAAGCTCCATTTTACGTATTTCTTACTATCTGAATGCTTCTCCATGTTTTTTTGAATATCCTGTAATAATTTTTAATAATATTGTTAATATAAATATATCATAAGTTATTATAAAATCAATATAAATATAGTGCTAACAAAAATCACTAATAGGTATATAAAAGATATATATATATAGTTAATAGTTCTAAAATATATCTCGCGCGTATATATATATATATATATTCTACGTAATTATCCTTATTGCAATACAATAAATATTTTACGTTATATTTGAAAGAATAGGAATTATTACATAATTGTTTAAAAACGAAAATTGACAAGTATTTCTGGACGTACATACTTGGACGTCGCCGCCAAAAAATATAAGAAGATCGTGCGTTGACTGCAATTTCGGCAGCGTATAAACTACGTCGTTGCATCGACCTGGAATGCCCGGTATGTTTTTCCATATCCAAATTTTCGAGCCCATTGACCACTATCTGCAAGAGATTAATCAGAAAGGAGTTAGCGTCTTCGGAAAAATTAAGTATTGCTCAATTGCTGTCTGATAATTGGAGCAAATTGCTGATTGAACAATTGTGCAAAATTGTGTACAAACTTATGTATGAAATTGCGTCGTAACTCCGGAGGTATGAGGTCTATTTGTTTTGGTTTGCGTTTTCCTGCACTTTTTGTATTCAAAGTGACAGATGTGATTAGGGTACGATTCACTTCGTGCTGCAAACGCTTTAAAGCATTATTTTATTAATTAATTCGTAAAATTCTTTCTTCTATTTGAACAACGAAATATTTGCAGTTAGGATGCGTTTGTACTGATCGTAATCGTATGCATACTATAGTCTGTAAGAACAGACTAATCGTAGTCGCGTATTCCCCTCTTTTTTTGAACGTAAAGTCGGTTCTACATTAGTTGCAAGTTGATCGCAAGTTTGTTGCAACAGCCAATATGAAACGTTAATTTCAAAATCCAACCTTCAGATTAGCTGTCGCAATAAACTTGCGATCGGTTTGCAACTAATGTAGAACCGGCTTTATACGCGCGTATGATTTACAATAGAAGTCATAGCAATCGATAAGGTCTTAAGTCATAGAAAATTGACAATCATAGTCGATTATTCTTCTCCTATTTGACTGTGATTGGTTAATTTTCTACGATTTAACGCGGAATCTATAATAGAAGTTGTAGTAATAATAGGGTGTAGAAAATTAACCAATCACAGTCGAATAAGAGAAAAATAATAGATAAGGATTGATTAATTTTCTACGACTTAAAACCTTACGACCGCTACGATTTCTATTGTAAACCTCGTATTAAAAATTAGTCAGTCACAGTCAAATATGAGAAGATAATCGACTATGATTGGTCAATTCCTTAAAGTTTGTATTTGCGGGATTATGCAAAAGTTTGTGTGTTGCGGCCTTAAAAAAGAGCGCCGGGCATCAACATACAAAGGCACCTTAATCCGACAATGGAGTATAATAATACGGCGCGCTACTCGAAAGTATGTATATCTCCTCCTTTCATTTCTTCAGCACTGCGACTTCGTGAAGATGAATATGACGTCTGCAGAAATATCGGATGCAATCTCGGTGCAATTTTCGAGACAATCGCGTTTCGCGATGATTAATTTGAAAGCGAAATCAGGCATTACGAGGCCTCGGAAATTATTGGCGCACAATTACGAAATACCATCTCTGACTCCGACAGCGGTGAGTAAGATAAGCAAGTGATACTCCATGTAATGAATAATGTACGATGTACATAGTAACGAAGCATGAAACAGTTCTTTTGGTGCACGAGGCACTTCGCGAGTACATATTTCGAATGTTCAAATGAGACAGCGTGAGTTTGTAAACGAATCACACGGCACTCGGCAGACAAGTGACGATCGCGTGAAAAAGTGAGGATCTGCGAAGTCGTGCGAAGTGTGAGGACGAACGCGACGAACGTTGAGTAATTTGAAGCAACTTGAAGTGTTGAATACAGCTGATAGACTTTTCCTTTCCTTGCTGCGTCGTTTTTTCTGATTCTTGTTGCGGAAAAAATTTCAAGGCATGAGAAAATCACCTACCGGTGTCATGTTACGTAACCTCATGTCGCGGAATTACCTGTGTTTTAACCTTGATCTTTTTGTTGCTCGACGCTTTTCAGTGATGGGACACGTTACGTCGGATCGTACGATGCAGGAGTTGACGTCCGGTGATAGCACAACATGGAATCCACTAGATGTTTTCCAGAATAGTGCACGTGGTATCGAATATGCGGTGATCGTGCTGAATCGTCGCATACACTGGCAGCACAACGTACTACTTCGATTCTGGCAAAAAGGTTGTAAACTGACTGAAAATCTACATATCTTACGCTTCTGTCTTTGTTAGAGCTTCAGCACAAAGATGATCGAAATTGAGTTGTGAATGTTAGTTGTACTTGTAAATCAATGTACAATGTTTTGTACCTGTTCTATGATAAGGTCGCAAGCCGTGAGCTGTAAGAAATTAGCCAATCACAGTTGAATATGAAACAGTTGAAATGATCGACTATGATTGATTAATTTCTTACAGTTTACAGTTTGCGATCCTATTGTAGAATAGACTTACAACTATGACTTACATTCTACAACTCAGTTACAGCCATCTTTGTGTTTAGGTCCTTATTTGCTGAATGCCAAGAAAGATAGAATAATGCTTATGTCGACTTGTGCCAATTGGAAAGTGATTAATGAGAAAATGCAAGCAAATAAAGCAATTTATGTTATTGATTTATGTATCTCTTTGTATAAGCAGCTCGAATCACCGTCACTGTGGATGGTGGAACACAGAGATGGCTGAAGTATTTGGAAGAACACGGAATAGATGTATTGAACACTGAGCACAAGCATTATGCACCGGATCTCATCACAGGGGATATGGATAGCTGTCCACCTTATATCGTTGAGAAGTTTGAAAGTATACGATCCACTGTCATCAAAACACCTGATCAGGATAACACAGATTATACCAAAGCTCTGCTGGAAGTTGCACACTATGCTAAGACGCACAACATAAATGTAATCCTTTAGATTCTTATTGTTGTTTTTTTAAATTAATGTTATATGATGAAATATATGAATGATATTTTTTGGCAGTTAGGTGAAATATATGTACTTGCAGAAACATCAGGCAGGTTTGATCATATCATTGCCAATGTCAATACTCTATACAGAAGTGACAAGCTTGTGGGAGATATACGGGTAGAGTTTTTATTTGATAGACAAACTTGTGATTATGTCTCCATATTAGGTATATTCTGATTGGAGATTGTTTTTACAGGTGATACAACTTGCAAGCAATTCTATGACATGGATATTAAAACCTGGTATGCATAGTATACATATACCAGAAATTTTGATTCAACAGAAATCTTGGTGTGGTTTACTACCATTTGGTTGTACCGTCAATTGTATATCAACGACTGGTTTGAAATGGAATTTAAGTATGTTTTATATCTCATTTATCTTGAAGTAAACCATTTTACTACATTATGTAAATATTTTATTATCTGTTTGAATAATTTTTCTGAATTCTTATTTTATTCTTTTTTCTTATATTTCAGATAAAACAACTATGCAATTTGGCGGTTTGATAAGTACTTCAAATACTTATGAAGATTCCAAGGTGACTGTGAATACAGATACTCCGGTAATTTGGACCATGGGTATAGAATTTCTAGAGAGAGTATAAATGAAATGTCGTAATGTTATTCTGCTAATGTGATTATAAGATAACAACGCAGATAAGTGATGCAAATTCAGACATCTAAGTTAAATGCTAAATATTAGCTAAAGTTAAAATTTTCTATTTAAATGACGATAGTAAACTAAAATGACAATTTTTTATTTTAAAAATCAGTTTTAAATAAGATGCTTTCTAGAAACTTATATAAGCGATATTGTAACACAGTGTATGATATGGATAGGCGATACAACGCCGTTATTTTAAATATCGATACTTTTTTCCCCGACATTTTCTCTTTCGATATTGATGTGTATCGACATTTGAACAGGAATAATTTCTGATCCTGATGAAACCTGTGTTAATGTAATACGGATTGATATTGGATTGCAGGTTGGACAATCAGAGCAAAATTATTAAACTTTAAATTAGTTTGGTGCATTCGCGGGAGAGATGCTATTAGCGCTATTTTTGTCATTCTTTTTTCGTTGTTTATTAGACAACAAGGATGGAATCAAAGAAGGAAACTTCCTTATGGAGGGTATGGAGTTTTCCACAGTTTCCCAGAACTTCTGAAATGGATGTTGAATTCCAGAATTCGATGTTTAAAAAAAATTGTCAATTTTTACAAATTTTAAAAAATTTTGAATGATTTGACAAAAAACTGGTAGTTAGGATATATATGTAGAAATATAATTTGCATATACAACAAAAGAGATAAAATATTTGTTATTTTGAAATCTCCCTGTTTAGATGAGATACTCCCTCATTAAAGTTAAAAGTTTTCATCACTGGATAGAACGACATGTATAGTGCTAATAGCGTTTCTTCGAATGCACTTTACTTTCTCCTGCTCAAGAGCATATTCGAATTCCAGTCTTTTTATTTTATTTTAGCGTTGAAATAAAATAGTATATGACTGTGTTCCATTACTGGAAAATATCCTAATTTTCTGATGGCATTGGTACCATTGTGGAATTTCTACCTATTAAAATAATGTGTGATAGTAATGAATTGAATCATTTTTACTTGTATACACGAGTCTTTTTCGGAAATAGAGTTGCTATTTAACATAAAAATTAATTAGTCAAACAAATTATGTATCATATGAATGATATTGTATTTATATTAGCTAGAAATTTACAAATTTTTTTACAACTGTTTGTACAATATCAAATATTATGGGTCCTTTTTAACAATGGAACACAGTCGTATACTATGTGACACAGGATGTTCCAACAACGTACACAGTTTTACATAAAGTGTTCAACCTATGACACAGGGTTACACTGCTCAACACTAAAAAGTTATGTACGATCGTGTGAAATATGTCATTATTATCAAAAAGTTATTTGGTAGCCGTACTTATTTTGCAATATAAAAATTGCCAATTCTAAAAAAAATTATAACTTAAGGGGGTATTCTAGTCTAGAAGGTGAATTTTTATGCTATTTTTGTGAATTTTAAAAAAATATAAGATACAGTTTTTTGGGATAGGCTTTTTTTCATATTTATATATATTTGAAGAACGTTTCAAAATTTTTTTATTAAAAAATAATCAGTAAAAAATATAAAAAAGCCCATCCGAGCGTTCGGATGCACAGAAAACACTTTATTCTCATGTGAAATGTAAAACGCCGGAGATTGCTCCCTACCAGGTACTATAACTGTTAATTTTGTGAATCGTATAATTCCTTTTACAGATATGTTTTCATATTAAATACTTGCAAAATATGTAAAAAAAAAATCGATTTTTTTTATCCGTTAGACTAGAATACCCTCTTAAGTCTAAATGAAAATCATACTTATTATTAATATAAAATAAGAGGCTTCTACCAGATCAATGTAATAAATGAACTTTACAAGATGTAAACATTAATTCTTTATTTACTTTTTCTATTATTTCACGAAACGTTTCGACCGTACTTGGTTCTCTTCAGCCGTGTCTTAAAATAAATAAAAATCCTTACACTTTGAAACTGAACTGCATTCCAACAAGTATTTTACACAGTGTAATGTTCTGTGTCCTAGCTGGAAAACAGCCATGTGTCATTCCTTTACTGGAAGGTATCTAATATTGATTTGTAGTTGAAACGATTAATTTTTTTATTTCCTTGTCAAAGTGGAATAAAGGGTTTCACATATCTTATATACGAATATATCCGAATGTAATTTTGAAACCTCTTCTTGAGGTATTCCTAGAAACAAAATAATAAAATATAAAAATTTGATATTCGTGATGACACAATTGAACACAACACTTTAGCTGTGTATGATTGTGTTGACAGTTTGTGTTACAGTTTGGAAAACATAGAATCGTGCACTGTGTTACACAGTATCGTGTAAGTTGCTGGAAAGTATATATTATCAGGCATTTATTCTTAAATATAGGTTCAATATGTTTGTAACAATTGTTGCGAGATGAATGAAATAATCTTGTAATATATTGTTTTGTTCGCATTCCAATTTGGACGATGTTAGTTAAAAAGAGTACAAACTATAGTTTATTATAGTTGAAAGTTCCTATTTGCGCGTACGAAATCAGAGTTACGGTAAAGTCACATGACATTAATATGTATGATTGTACTAATTTTTATCGATTCCGAAACAGATTATAGTTTTATACTACACAATCTTTTACTTAAGTATTTATTATTAAGAGTATTCTTTTACTTAAAGCTTTTTATCCAAAATTTTTTCTTTTATTCGGCTTTTAGTTTTTCAATCTTTTATAATTTATAAAGTATGGAATAAGAATCGAACTCTTGCGATTTGCCATTGACGAATCGATCACTACACATAACCAAAGTAAAGTGACGTAACAATAATATATGATTTTTAACTTTTAAATTAATTTTTTTTTTATAGAAATTTGATTAAAAAAATGTTTGCTTTCATTTATGCGTTTGTTTTCCATAGTATGTATTATTAGATTTCTGATTTTTGTTACATGTAGTGCTAATTTAGCTTATAGTGAAAAACAATATTTGTCTAGCTAACACAAAAGTCTAAAAGATATCGTAAAGATGTAAAAATTACTTTTTTTAAACAGATATTTTAAAGTTTTGTGTTGTCTGGACAATCAAAATATTTTTTACATTGCACACGATTTATTATGTATTATTTTAATAGATTTTTGTACACAGATAGCACATGATGTAAGAAGTCTATGAAATTCAAATATATCTCGTTAAATCTTTCTCGAATGTTTCTAGATAACACATTAAAACGTGTTCATTGCAAGTATTTACTTGGCACAGCGAGAGCGTCGAGTCAAAATAGTATCCCCCAGACAGTACCAGACCTGTCTATAATACTCGACGTACTCGTATAACAGCAGGTCGCTGCCGCCACTATCGGGGCTAGAATCAGAGTGTGTACTTTGGCGATCAGCTGTCGCGATTGTTTACATTTGTCGGCCGAGTGCCGGCTCGTGGTGGGGTTGAGACCACCGTCCAGTTTCTTTCGGCCTGTTGCGTCGTGCGGTTCACGTAATCTACGAGTGCTTATCGTGTCTTATCGTCGCGCTGTCGCGCGGTATCGAACAAATGCCAGCGCGCATTTTTCTGTGCTTTCCAGAATTGGGTAAGCTTGCAACTCGCTGACGCGACTATAAGTCATAACGAGTGTATAAGGGAGGCACGTATCTATAATAAAATATTTCTTGCAGATATCTATCTAACGAGTATTATATAGCGAGTAAAAATATAATGTTTTGAATTAATATCTGAGTTAATATATAATAATAACGCCGATTAAAATATATATTTAGGGCAGGACGATTTAAAAACGATTGTTGCTACAATGATAAGTTTATATTGGTTTATATTCTTATAATGTTATGCTAATTTAATATTTTTATTTTTATATCATTGATAATTTAACGCATTTGTGCCGTTTCTATATTAACTTTGTACACGTATATTCGTCCTCAAACGAGTTTGTTTCTAAGATCGGATGTAACGTAATAATAGCCCATTTAAATAGATAAAGAGATTGTTGTCGTAAATGGCTTCAGCAGTTGATTGTTAAATTGTATCGCTATTTGAAAGTTGAAATCATTTGAGATAGAAATTGAAGTAGAATCAATGATACGAAAATTTTTATATATTATTTTTAATATTTGATATTCTTATATATTTTTATATATTTGATATAGAAAAAATTCAGTAAATCATGAAATTAAGGAAGATGTTTTACTATATGATATTTTACTATAAGACGAAACTTTAAAGCAACTCAGATCTATTTTTGCTTATTTTTTGACATTGACAGTTCTGAGACGTCTGTGAATGTTTTTGTATCTATGATGAAAATATGATGTTTTCTTTTTGTTATGGATGTAGACGTTACAAGATTTTTTCAAGCTACAAGTGCTTATGTTATGAATTTCTTTACGAATTTTTGCATAAATGTATGTACATTTAATCGTACAAAATTTACTTATTGATAAAAATAATAATAATAGATTACTATTTATATAATCTTCCAAAAAATTGATATATTTTAAACAAAGTTTTAGGTATAAGCGACTGAAATAAAATTTTTAAAACGATTGAGTGACGGAAATCCGAGATGATGCACAGAAATCGCGGCTCATAATGCGGGAACTCATCTCGGGCCTCGTACGCTCTCAAACTTCAAACAATTGGCTCTATTTCGCTCGGATTTCCTCTCGTGAGACGCGGAGCGGATTTTTCGACGGATACTTGAGGGCCTCGCTAGACGCACTTTGAACGCGGACGAATAGTTGAGCTTGGCTTCGGGTGCCGCGGCTCGAGCCACCGAAATGGTGTCAGACACCGAGTGTAAATAACCTTATGAACGTAAGAATAGACGTACGAGAGACGAATCGGGTTTATGTATCTCTTGTGCCTTGCGCTAGAGAAAATTCACGACGATCGTGTGACGGGAATCCGATTTCAAACCGGCGCGATTTTAACTCCATACTGGCTCAGGTACTTTGGCCTTCATAATAAATTGCGTAATAAATAACAATTTCCTTTGTCTTCCTTTTTGTTTTTAAAAACAAAACGATATATCGAGCTCGAACGAAAATTCAGTTTGAAATTGCGACGTCGCGGTTTCAGGTTTTATGGACCATAAAACTTGTTTATTGTAAACTCGAGTCTGTTACGCTGTGTGAAGACCTGTCGTTGAATTCCGTGCAAACACGAGTTTTAATTTGTGCAATATACAATACATCGATTCTGCTATCTATTTTATTTTCGCATTCAGCTGTGGTGGTGTTAATCTTTACGCTTGTCTACGAATCTTGCTTGATCTCGCATGAGCCAAGTCAAGTAATTGGCGAGACGCCTTTGATTATGCAGAGGTTTGTCTAATCAAGCTGCGAAATGAAACTCGAGTTTAAGTACAGGACAAAAATTGGCAGTTTTCCCAATAATCAATATTAAATTTTCATCGGATCATAAACGACGTTGATATGCGTACCGTCTGTTTCTGCGTCTAATGTTAAATTTGGTAGACTGAGTTCTTCGTTTTACATTGCTCTCTGAAAGGTAGCGAATCAAAGGCATATGAGATTATCTCTTAGAGAGGGCGCAATAATTATGCTTTTATCGAGATATAGTGAGAACCACGTATTTTTTTCTAATTCTATGACTTA